TAGAACCTGGATGTTCATATTGGCTCCCACATATTCTATGAAGATCTTTATAGGTCAAACCGCATAACGATATACGCTGTTCCCTTTGTCATTGGTATGTTACTTGCCCGAGATTCGATCGTCGGTATGTCAATACCTAGTTCAATCTCGTTACTGGCAATTCTCTTTATTCATTCCGTAATGCTACATCCTGGAACTAACTCATTAGCTACATTGCTTGCAAGGCTTATATTGATGTGCATTACCGAGAGGGCCCAGAGATACCTCTCCGACAATCGGAGTGACAAATCCTAATCTCGATCTATGCCAACTCAACAAACACCATTGGAGACACTTGTAGAGCACCTTTATAATCACCTAGTTACGTTGTGACGTTTGGTAGCACACAAAGTGTTCCTCCGGTATTCGGGAGTTGCATGATCTCATAGTCATTGGAACATGTATAAGTCATGGAGAAAGCAACAACAACAAACTAAACGATCATCATGCTAAGCTAACGGATGGGCCAAGTCAATCAAATCATTCTCTAATGATGTGATCCTGTTAATCAAATGACAACTCATGTCTATGGTTAGGAAACATAACCATCATTGATTCAACGAGCTAGTCAAGTAGAGGCAAACTAGTGACACTCTGTTTGTCTATGTATTCACACATGTACTAAGTTTCCGGTTAATACAATTCTAGCATGAATAATAAACATTTATCATGATATAAGGAAATATAAATAACAACTTTATTATTGCCTTTAGGGCATGTTTCCTTCAGCACTACGAACACTGATAACGTTCTCCAGCCATGCTGAGCCGTGCGCAGTTGTGTGCCATTCCCATCGTGTTTGTTGGCACGAGCCTCCTGTTGCCGACACCTTCCACTTGCTGCAGTCATCCAAGATCGCCCATGCGCTCCACCTCCGGTGGGCGCATGTACGCGAATTAGTGGTTGATTGAGTGATTTACGAAACAAGTTGGTTAGTTTTTAATTTAACCATCATGTCCTCGTGATCGAAGGGGTAAGTTTTCTCTCTCTCGGTTTTTCCCTTCATCTTCTTCTCCTCTCTATTTCTAATCTTTTTTTCTCTAGGGAACGGAGTCGCCATGGAACAACCCCGCCGCCTTGGAGCTTGCCCCGCCTCCGGCCCGCCAACTCTCCACCATCCTTGTGCTCCTCCGGCTCGGTCTGTCCACCCCGCCACCAGATCCACCGCCCAGACCACCAACCAAGCGCCACCTGCCTGTCCTACGATCAAGAGGAGGAGGACCGAGAGGAGCGCCCATTCATCCACCGCATGGGCCGCCTTGGAGCTCGCCCCACCTTCGGCCCAGCACCTCTCCGCCGGCCTCGTGTTCCTCCGCCTCGATCCGTCCGCCCTGCCGCCGAATCCACCGCCCAGACCACCAACCAAGCGCCGCCTCTTGCCTGGGAGGAGGATGGCTGACAGAAGCACCCATTCATCCACCGCATGGGCCACTTAGCTCGCTAGGCCCAGCAAGGTCCTTTTTGTAAGAACAAATCGTTTTTTGGATTAGCCACTTAAAAATAGAACCACTGGTTGAATTCTGATGAACAAAGGGACTTTCATGCAAAATTGTTGACGACGTTCGGCAAAAAGCACTTGGCGCTTTATTATTAGGTAAGGATTCCTTGCTTGATCGTCCTTTTTTTGGATTTCCATGTGGCCTGCTACAAAAAAGAAACAACTCACTTTGCGCCCGGTGGTCCGGCCCAGTCGCTTCGACCCCTCTGTGTCGTTGTCTGGCATGCTGCAAAGACAGAGCATGCACTCGCCCCAGGGTAACCTCTAGTTTGATTATTGTTGTTTTTCTTTTGTTTATAAAGTGGAAATATTTTGTTCTTACATGATATATTGGAAATACTCTAAATGATTGTATATTAGAAATTAATTTACTCATTTTTTAAAGCATTCATCATACATTCAAAAACAGTTCATGCAGTGCTAAAATAATGTCCACGTAACTTTTAGAAAATGTTGATACTATCCAAAAACTATAATGTGACAAAAAGGTTAATGATATCTGTAAAGAAGTGTTTACACAATGTAAAAAATTATGTTCGTCACATTCCAAAAAAAAATACAATGTAGAAAAATGTACATATAATTTTGGAAAAAGGTTCCTGTCATTCAAAATAATGCCCGTGACATTTAAAGATAAATGTTCGCATGATTTAAAAATATATCTATGAGATTTAAGAAAACACAATATAACAATATGTTCACCTAGTTTGAAAACTGTTTTTGTACAATATATAAAGATAAATGGCTATATAAAGGTAAATGACCGGGGATGACGGGCCAGGTGGTGGGTCCTTGTGGCGATGCCGGTGGCGGCGGATCATGGGATCCCGTGTCCGGGCTCATTGCAGGACGCGCGTGGCGGCCGGAGCTTCCTCCGGCATCGATGGCGCTTGATGCGGGATCGCGGCGGCGGTGGCTGTTGTATGGATGACGATAGTAGCTGGCGCGACGATGGGTCCTCCCTGTAGCGCCCGGAATCGGGGCGGCGGCCCCTCTTCATCAACGGCGGCGGACTCCGGGGTCGTGTGGGCGACTCGGAGTCCGGATCTCGAGATGGTGACGGCCTTTTGAGGCTGGTGGCGGTATGGGACGTCACCTCCATCAACAGACCGGGTTCGATGCGGCTCGGTAGGTGACACATGAGCCTCTCTTGGAGTTGTCGGGCGGTACCTGTCGTCGGCAGGTGAAGCCACCGGCAGATGCTATGCACGACATCTTATACGGAGACGTCAAGTCCTGCCTGCTACCGGCAGATGATGCACGACGACTCTGGCGGAGGTGTCAAGTTTAGCATGTTGTTGTTGGATCGGAGATGGTGCGATAGTAGCGGGAGGCAGGAGGTATGCAATGTCTTTGTCTTTCGTTGTCTCCTCCAGAGATACAGCTATCGAGGCATCGGTAGACGGATAAAGGCGGTTGGTATAGACAACTTCAACGACGAGCTTATGCACTCCGGTGGAAATACAAGATCTCTGATCGGGCTATGTCATCTCGTCTTCCAATGCTGATTCACTCTTCGGGTGTGGAATGATATTATTCCGTGACTTGGATTGCACCATGTCAACACGGCCACCTGGGCGACGAGGGCCTCGGTGAGAGATTGATGGACCAATAACATACACACTCGGGTTGGATCTCCCAAGGCGCTAGCCTCTCTGATGATGCTCATCTCATAGGAAATTTGGACCGAACGCAATGCCGTCCCTTCGATGGTTCTCATTTCCAAGATTAAAGAGAAGGTGTCTTTTTTGGGTTTTGGCCAGTGCGAAACAGTTGGGTATTGTAATGCCGCGAGAGTAATTCTTTCTTTTATTATCGCCGCTTTGCGGCTTTGTTCTAAAACTTGTTTCTTATCTTATTTAATGAAATGGCAAATCTTTTGCCTTATTTTAAAAAAATAACCGACGATACTCCTCAAGTCTCAACATCCTCAAACACCCTTACCAGGCCCGTGTACCAGGCAGTGAGCATATCATTACAAAAATTGTTTTTAGGCAACTGGCGAATACAAAAGTCCATCGTGAGTGTGTGTCCCTCAGGAAAAAAAATAGTCGACTGAATAGCAAATAGCCGACTGATGTGAGAAGGAAATTGGCCGCCTTTCAAGTTGTTAGATTTCGTGCAAAAAATGTTCTATATGTATGCATATACGTTCGTTGCTATGGCTGACTCTGGATGGCTATCTTCATTGGAAAAATATAATCGCTAATAGAAAGAGGTCGGCTGGTGGTTTATACGGTTCACGCAGCGACGGTATTGGGCCTAATCTAAGCCCACGACTTGCAGCGCACGGCGGCCGAACGCCACGAACCACATACCCATCGCTCTTATCTCAAGAAAAGAAAAAAAGCATACGCATCGCTCCAAGATGAGGATTTGCAACTCAACTCGGTGACGCAGTGCTTGACATGCACGCTTCCCTCTTCGAATCCGACTCCATCTCAGCGACCTTCCGCTGGATATAAGCCTAGGGGTGGCTCCCTCAGGGCACGCGCAACACAAGAAACACCCTCGCCGAGCCCTCGTCTCGTTCCTCCGCGCAGCCTTTAGCACGCCCGCTCTCATGGCGCAGTGCTCTTCCTTGGCGTTGTGCGATCAGATCCGTCGTGACCTCGAGCGCCGCAGGACGGTCCTCAACGCGGCCAAGGAGAGAGTTGCGAGGAAGTCCGTTGCGTCGCCCTCGCCGTTGTCACGCCAATCGGCGCTGATCTCCTCCACGTCAAACGGCGCTGTCATCATGAACCGGACCAAGGCTACGAATGGAGGGGTAGCAAACAAACACTCTGCTCCGCTGCCGCCGCCGCCGCCGCACTGACCCGCGCTCATCCCGTTCGCCAGAATCGCCACAACCAATGCTGCCGGCAAGAAGATCGCTTACTTGGACCTGGGAGAAGCTCCGAAGAGGCCCCTTGCCCCGCGGATGATGAGGACCCTGACCTCGTCCACCATGAAGGTTTCCGGCGTAGCGAGCGGGAGAATTCCCGACAAGTCCTCCGCCGCTCCGTCAGCATGCCGATCCGCGCTGATCACTTCCATCTCAAACGGCCCTGCCGCCGTCAATCCGGCGAACGCTCCGAAGGAAGCGCTTGGAAAGAAACGCTCTGCTCCGCCACCGTCGCTGCCAACGACCAATGCTGCCGGCAAGAAGATCGCTTACATGAAGCTGGGAGAAGCTAAGAGGAGATGTACTGCCCCGCCCCGCCGACCCCCACCGCGTCGATCCTCGCTGATCCCTACCGCGTCCATCCTGAAGCTTTCAAGCGAGATTAACATCTGTGATGTAGTGCAGTAGCCAGTAGGTTGCACCTGTGGCTATTCATGATATCATTACTGAACTAGTAGTTTTCTTGTAATTTGGATCGGAGTAGTTGACTTTGAATGCTCGACAATTGTTTTCCTGGTGAAGCTGATTCATCGATTGATGCCATGGCCGCCATGAACTCCGCCAGCTTCTTCACATTGCTCACGGGTCCCGGAGCATCTCCTCATACCGGAGGAAGAGCACCTTCTCCGGCCGCTTCCTCCTCATCTCCCAGTAGCCCATCTCGTGACGCCATTGCGGGCCGCAGACGCATATGCCATCGCAGAACAGTTCGAACGCCTCCTCGAATGTGTACGGCGGCTGCTGCTGCAGCTGCATGTCCATGTCCTTGTCGGCTCGTGCTCGTGCTCGTGCAACGGTGGCCGCCCCCTTCTTGGCGAAGAACCACGAGGAGACGAACGCATCCTTTGGGTTCCGGCAGATGTACACGATCCGGCAGCCGGACTCCTCCGCGGTGATGCGCCGTGGCAGGAGAGAGTAGGGAAGGTGTGTGGCGACCACGCGTGGCGAAGGGAGCGCCGCAAACGCATCGCCTGCTCCACTGTCGTCCGTTGACTGCGCGAACGCCATCTCCAGGTACCTGACGACATCGTGGGGTTGCCATGGCGGAGAGGGTGGTTGAGGTCACATGGCGGGTGCTCGGCCCGGTTGCGCGTGGCGAAGACGATAGCCTTGAGCCAGGTGGTGCCGCACTTTGCGAAGGAGGACGTCCGACGGCCTCGGCTCGAAGACCGAGTGGACGGCGGGAACGTCCATGAGGAACTCCTCCAGGAGCCAGAACCCGTCGTACTGCCTCAGATGGAACGGGCGGAACCGCGTGTTGAGGAGAAGCGAGGTGATCGCAAGCTCGGCAATGTCGTCGGCGGCAGAGGCAGCCATGGATAGCGCCGTTGTGCATGCATGCGTCCGGGTGTGTTGATGGTGGTGCGTGAGTTGTACTGTGGCTGTGGCCTTGTATAAGCAGCAGCTAGATAACGATGCCCCGCCACGCGAGGTAGTTCGATCGGTAGGCTGCTCCGCGTGCACGTCAGCACGGGCGGTGCTGACGATAAGATAAACATCAATTGCTGGCAATTGTGCGTACTTTTCTTCTGAATTTGCTGGCTCACGCCGTATGTATGAGCCTAACGGATACGCGCACTAGCTGGTACCTACCTGAGCAAAATAGCTCATGCACAGCACATAAGGGCATTCAGATTTCATAAATTTAGGTACAAAGCACACAAACAAGAAAACTGACAGTTGAGAGACATGATTTAACTGACGACACATCACACATGAGTTAAAAATTATAAAGGCTTATAGCTACAAAATTCACTCGAGGAGAGCTAGAAAAACTAATTGGTTATAACAAAATTGAAGGCACAAACACACACATCTACTAGTTTTTCATTCATGTTTTCTGCAAAAGTGACCCACTATTTTTCCACCCAGCTTATTTCCTCAGTAAACAAACTCTATCTTTTGCTTCATGACGTGAAGATTGCTGTTTATTTCCTTTTTTCGAACGGCTATCCAAAGTGCTAGGTTTTAATGGGAGGAAGAAAAATTCAGGCAAGAGTTTTGCCAAGAAAAAGGCCAAATAATGTGAGAAATGCACACCATAAAAGAGCTCAAGAAAATCCTATTTTTGTTGCTCAACACAATATTGTTCCTGTTGCTAAATGCTGTAAATGTGAAAATGGATTTTGCTCGAATGTACGTTTGTTTCATGTTAGAATCCCTCTCCACAAATTGCATGCACTGCCCTCTTCTATCTGGAAGAAAATTTACTAACTCTATCTAACCTGCCTTCGCTTCTGGTTATAAAGTTTTTTCTGTTGAATATTATGATCCAACTCTGCATGTTGACCAGCAAACCGCAATGCAGGGTCATGAGCAGGTAAACATTGGCTAACTGAATTACTGTGTTTGCTGTTGCAGATTCACTCAATAGTGCACAATTAACAAAAGGAGCCAGCAGCTCAACAACTATAGTATATGAAAACCTAAAGCCTCAAAATTATCAGATACTGCGCTACTTCTTAATGCTTCTGACTTGTTTCTTCTTCTTAGAGCTATTAGCTTCTTGCTCGCTATTGGACGCATTTTGATTGGTACCATTCTGAAAATGAAAAAAAAAAAGTGGTTCTGGGATGCAACCTACAAATAACTTGTGGGGGCACTTCTGCTACTTGCGTATAGGGGGTTGTAGCTAGTCTTTTGTTGCCACTTCTGATCTAAATTAAGCATCAGTCTAAACCTAGAAGAGAGAATTAAGCACTAACATATTCATCTGTTGTGAAAATCTAAATTTTGCAGTTAGGACCTTGTTTCTGGGCTGAGTAGTTTGTACAGTGTTTTCATCAGGCATGGTGCATTCAGCTTTGCCAACTGCCATCCTCTTCC